GGGTTCGTCCGAACCCCTTGAACCCACTTTGATTAGCCACTGCTACAATAATACACAATTATATTTAAAAAAAAATTTCTGGTAGAGGAGTAGCCTGAATAAAGAAGTTCCTGACAAAAAAATAGGAAAGTTGTCGTAATAAGAGGTTCAACTTTATAGATGAGAGACAGTATTAATCATCGTATCCTTCAAAATTTTTGCAAATAATTCCAGGAGGATAAATTTGGTCAAAGAACATTTCGACACAAGAGATATTTAACAATGATGTTAGCGAGCTTTGCTAAGTTTTGAATCAATAAATATTAAGTGCTTCACAGTAATTGGAATACCATCTCAGCCAAGAAAGAATGTTGGCAGTAGAAGAGGAAATGTTACCGTATTTTTCCAGGTGATTGTAAGACAGGCGAACAGTGTATAAAAACATAAATATAAGATATCACACCTTTCAGCAAAAATTAAAATCGCACGTGCAGGTTGTACATACTGGAATGCCTGCTGGCTACGTAATAAAAGCCCTAATGTAAGCACTTTTGTGTGCATTTAAAAATCAATTAAAACAAAAATAACTTTAATTCTTAAAAATTCAGATACATTTTCTATAATTAGTTTTTGTCGTTGAACTTTTAATATTACCTTCGTAAATTGTGAAACACAACAGATTCAATGTTCTTCGATCATCGTAATCCTCTTAGAATTACCTGCAAACTTTTTGAAGGATACATTGATTATATTGTCAATGTTTTGAAATAAATATTTAAATACCTCGAATGAGACCTCATAAAAGAATGGATTTTAAATAGATACCATTAAAACATTGATATTTTTTCCAGATTTTATAAACATAAAATTAAAATATCACACCTTTCAGCAACAATTCAGATAAAATCGCACGCGCAGAGTGTACATACTGGAATGTCTGCCAGGCTACGTAATAGAAGCAAAAATGTGAGCACTTTTGTTTGCATTTAAAAATCAATTAAAACAAAAATAACTTTAATTCTTAAAGATCTAGATACATTTTTTTTATATAATTAGTTTTTGTTGTTAAACTTTTTTTTACCTTCGAAAATTGTGAATAATATGCAATCACCAAATATACGTATATTATGCGCAAAGATTGTATAATAAGTTTTTTCTGGTGGCTCATGTGACACTCGAAACACTTGAGGTTGAAGGTCATCCAAATCATAAATCACAATTGATACCTGTTTTTGGCTCCTTAATTGAAACTGTAGATAAAAAAAATATTTTAAATACATTAATTTTAGGCTAAGCAAACTACTTAGATTTTAATATCAAAATAGGCGTGCTTCCAGAAAATTAGGTATTTCGTTCTTTGATAATTACTATGTTGTGTAAAACAGAGCAACAAAAGAACATGCTTGAGTCAATATAACGATTTGTTACTGAAATATTTTATTCTCTTCTCTACTCCAGAGGGCGTTATGTTAGCTTACAAACTGTATGGTTTGAACATCACATTAGTTGTGTGTTTTTTAAGTGAGTGTTATGTGCTCATGCAGTTACCAAACTGATTACCAGAAACGTATTAGAATAGAAATATTAAAAAAAAAAACACAGTAAAAGAAATGCAAACAAACACTGGCCTCTTTATCAACTACAAGAGATACACTTTTTTGTAAGAACATTGCAGCTGAAATTGTCAAAAAATAAGGAACAAATTAAGAACAAATTGAGGCTGAGGTAAAATGCCAAATAGAAAAACCAACATATCTTATTCGTACCTTATTTGTAGTAGGTTTGACTATAGTATGTAATAACCTATAAGGGGGGGGGGGGGGGGGGGGGGGTTCCAGAGATGGAAAAGGTGTGGCCGAAAATGGGGCCGATCGAGATAATACTACCGTTTGAGCCTGAAATCAGCAAAAAAAAAACAAAAAAAAAACTGAGTCTGGGCAAAGTTTTACTGGTTCTCAATACAAGAAAAATGTATATTAATAAATAAGGCCCTCCACAAAAAACAAAATAAAAATGGTAGTAAATTATTTATTGAGTTTTCAAACCTCGTTACCCCACATTTCAGGCATCCCTTTTTGGCAAATCTTTCAATAAACTTACCCCAACCTTTCTGTCCCAAACACTGACTGAATAATGAATTAAAAACAAATTCTCTGTTAGCTCAATAGTCATATTTCTTAAACGAAAGTTGTATTCGTTCTCTTTTCTTTCAAGGATATAAACTTTAATACAATCTTCTCCTGCGATTACTAACAGGTTGTGCCAGACTCTGAAATGTAATATCATCAACGGTTATTTGCAATCTTCATTTGCCATAGTGTACAATTATTGTTACATTACATTGCATTACAGCTAATAAACCAGTTATTGTTGTTGTTTCTGTGTTTTACTGGTATCGTTAATTGGTAAGTATAGAACAATTCTTTATCTACGCTTATCAGATTGATAGTTCAACAATTTCAATAAGAAAACCTTATTCATTAAGAGATTGATATGAAAAAAATAATACAAAATGTCGAATTTAGCCCTAAAATAAAACTAAAGAATGCTCCTTCTTTTACACTGCGCATTAAAAGCGTAGCCTTCCCATCGTCTGATTTTTCTTTGAGAGTGGGTGTTTGAAACTAATCAGAATTAACAAACTTTAGTTATCGTGCTAACAAACGATTTATTTCAACAGCTAAAACGAAATAATGAAGAAATATTACAAGTTCAACTAATAAAATTAGATTTTGTTTAATGGCAAATGATGGTATTAGCGTAAATTATCTGATTAGTAAAATATTAATTATGCAAATGAGCAATGAGCAAAAATAGGGTTCATCACTTTATTATCCATCTTGCATTGTGCTAATTGGAAACCAATTAGACTTTTCAAAATTTGAATTATCCTGGTAACTAGCGTACTTTTTCTGATTAGTGAAATATTAATTATTCAAATGAGAAATTAGCATATTCACACAAGTACCAAAACAATAGGCCTTGTATTCTTCCAAGTATAAAATCAATCGGACTTAACCAAAATTTATTGTTATCGTGGTAAAAGCGTAAATTTCTTGATTAATGAAATATTAAATTATGCAAATAAAAGTTATATATATACACACACGCAAGAACTCTAGGCTTCGCGCCTTTGGGGAGGCTAATTAGGATTAGTACAATTATTGTTAAAATAACTAAATAAGTCAGAAAAACGGAAATAAAATTATACTATTGTTACCCCATAACAAATTCATATCCAAGATCTAATACTCTTGCCACTCGAAACTCCCCTTCAGAAAATACCCACCACTGGATTAAAAAATCATCGTGCGGTATTAAGAAGGAATGCTGCGTCAATCCTTGATGCTTGGAAAACTTGCAGAGTGGATCTGAAATATAAACGAATCATTTGGCAAAAAAATAAATAAATTGTTTGTTTGCCCTTCCTTTTTTGAAAAACGAAAAAAATAGAGCCACTAAAGTTTCTTTCAATACGTGGAGAAAAAAGCTAAAAACCCCCATTTCTTTTAGTTATTTTTGTTTTTCCGCCCCTATTTTTAAAATGAGTTAGGGGCGGGTGGAGGAGGGCAAACAAACATTTTTGGCCTTATCGTAGCAACGACTACTCTCAATGATCATTGTAATCTAGATGTGTATAAGAGACAGCACACCAACCATAACCGAAGAAACTTTCCAGTATCAAAGATACTAGAAACACAAGATAGACTTCTCCACAGAAAAAACAAAATAAATAAAAAAATGTTCCACCGAAATGCAATGTGGGAATACAAAGAGTTGCGACATTCCACTCCTTGGTTTTCGAAAGTCACGTCGTACACACCGTCCATTTTGTGTCATAATCTTCCCGATAAAACCATGCAAAGTATATGTGTTACGTACATTGCATATTAATTTCACACACTTAATTGGGTTTACAATTATATTTTATAATTAACATCACTTAGTATGGACAGTGTATTAGAATTCATATATATATGAAATTCGACTGCTAAAAAGACCATTATGAAATTAAACAATACAGGAGGCCGATGATTGTATTATACAATATTATACACAGGAACGTACATCACGTTAGATACAGAACGCGCATCGCACTGGAAACAAAGTGGCTTCTAAATTTCAATGTTG